CGGGAGTGGGAGGAAGTAGTGGTTTCCCGCCCATAAGAGAGCCTGCTACTCCCTGTGTGCTACCCCGCCCATACTAAACTTCTAACTACTGCTCACACGCCATTGAAACTTTTTGACGTCTTCAACAGTAAGGAACGCATCATGCAGCCGTCACGTGGGGGGAGAGGTAATGCACACCCGGTGCAATAATTCCGTCCCGTGGAAGCCGGCGTGATCACCGCAAGTTGTAATGATGTTCCTTGCGGCCCGGTCTGCGCCGCGTGACGTCACGCCGACCAAAATGATTCAATCTGCCGGGGAGCGGGGCCGTTCCGAGGCAAAGTAAAAACCAAAGGTAAAAACGCATTTCCGGGCCGCCGTGTCGCCGGGCGCGCCGGCACTTTATTTCGTAAGACCCACGAGCAGCAGCGGGGCGGAACGAGTGAGGAGGGCGACTATAGTGGAGCCGATGATGACGAACTCTTCTGCGAATAAGTGAGCTGGAGCGGTCAGACCCAAGCCCCAGGCTCGGTGTTCAGTGCTGTCAGCAAGCACGGCGGCAGCTGGTGGCCGATGATGAGTGCTCCACTTATGATTGGTGTTCAATCACCCCGTTACTCCAGGAGTACTTGCCGTCGCCGCCTGGCCCCAGGGATTGCACTGACAAGTGTCGTGAGAGGTTGAGAGGAGGTCGCCTGCCAGGTCTGTGGGTACAAACCAGGTGTGGCTGATCAGCCCCCGCGCACTTATGTAGTTGTATTGTGCCGCATGCGGTCGCGATCAGGTTGCCTATCCGATCGGAGCCGTAAGGCGCCGAGGTCAGCGATGCTAGGCAAACCCGCCCACACGCCTGCATGCGGTACAGTACAACTACAGAACTGAGCGAGGCTGATCAGCCTTCTGGTATACAATGCTGGATGGTACTCAACTTACGACGTCAGTACGACAATATCCCACTCGCCAACTGCATTCTAATGAAAAGTACGAAGAAGGACTGGATCCCAATCACCACAAACGACATGAGCCCCGTACCGACCCTCTAGACATCTCGTGGAAAATTGAAACGAACCTGTCGAAAAAACTATACTCGCCGACAGCGCGGTTCGTTGCGTCGTCGTTCCTCGCCGTGAACCCGTGAACACATCGACGACGATGAGCTGCGCTGCTGCGCTCGTCGAAGCGGCGCCAGGATATTGACTCCACTAATGGAGAGAAAGGAAGCTCCATGACCCGCTTGTGTGTCGCGAGAGCCGCGGCGTGGCGGGGCTTGGCGGAGCGTGGCGCTGTCAGCGCTCTGAGCGGGCCGCGAGGACCGCCCTAGGATGGGCTCAGAACGCCGTGGTGCTCACTCCTCCACAGCATGCTCAGCAGCCAGCCAAGTGTCTGAACGTGAAGTGACATTCGTGTGAGCGTTTTCTCGTTCCGTACATAGTCAACTTTGGAAGACAGCAGAGAGGCTTTTGCGCCGGTCTGTGCCATTCTCTTCGAATCGAAATCCCTTCGAAACACTTCAGATGACTCAGAACTCCCCTTGTACTTCAAATAATAGGGTTAACACGACTACTTGTTTCCTCCTCGACAGTATCCCGATTCCCTTGCCAGCAAATCCCCCCCCCCCCTGGAAGACTGCAACTAACTCTCTCGCACCCGCCCTGCTTCCTCTCTCCTCTATCTCTCCCTCTCGCACAACCGCGGAATAAGCAGGCGAGGAGGCGATGCGTCCGGCAGATAGACTCTTCACGGCGGAGGTGATCAAGGCCAGGCCTCGGGAGCCCGTCGAGAGGAGTGCGGGGGCGCCTCTCTGCAAGTGCTCTGCCTGCTGCTGCGCTTCCTCGTGCCGCCGCTGCCCTTGAGGAGGTGGCCGAGCGGCGTGGGGCGGTCGGTACGGTGGTGACTTCTTCACTGGTACCTGTGAAACCTTGAAAAGGGCATACGCTCAAAGCATGTGTTCGAAATCAGTGTAGTACTGTGCAAAGTATTCTCCCAAATTGTTGCGGCAGCTAGCAAAAATGTGTCCGTCAAAGAAGAAATATATTTTTGACACAACTATCCAGACAGATTATTCCCCCACAATGTCACTCACTAACTTTTCTGCAAAGTTTCTCAAATTTAATTTTTGTTTGCTCTTGGACGGCCTGGGTTATTTCCAAGCGCCGCCCCCCCCCTCCCCGATATTCGCGGTTTCACTTTGCTAAACGTCGCTCGCGGGGCGCCGTCAGTGCCGCACCTGCCGTGGAGCCCAGCCTCCCAGCCCACCCCCGGCCAGCCCGGCGGCCCGCTGGGCCTTCCCTCTGCGATAACATCTCCGAATCAGCGGCCCGTCAGCGCGAGGTCACACGGGTCAGTCGCGGTCACCGCGCCGTCAGCGGCGAGCCGAGCACTGTACTGGACGTGTATGTTTATCGAGGTGAAATCTTGATTTCTGTGATCGTGTGTGTATACACGTCATCGTCGGTATTAAACTGACCTTGAACTGAATGTGTTTGCGCTTTACCTGCAAACATTCGACATTCAACAGGAGGGCGAAGAGAATTACCCTTAGGAATTAGGAGTTATGAGTTATGTAGAAAGCGCCAGAGGGAAGGTGGCGGTCCTGGACACACCAAGGGTGGTGGAGCAGGGCATCATCCGTGTCCTAGACCCCCGACCCAGATTTCCAGTTCCATTCCATCCCTTCTTGTTCTCAGTGTCGTCGGGGTGAACCCCACCCCGCCCGCGCTGCACAACGACCTGCACCCCGTCCCGTAAGCCTTCGTGGCTCGGCGGAGACGACTGGTGCAGATGGCGGGCACATTCAAACAGGTTCAGGTTCCGCGGGCCGATGCCGATACCGGTGAGCCGGTGTGACTGCCACCTGACTGCCGCCAGAAAGCGTGGCCCGCGACACTGCTAGTGCTCCTGACCGCAAGCCTCGCGTGCGCGGCCCGCGCGGTGCGCCCCGCGCTGATGCAACGGCGGCGCCGCGCGAGGCCTGCAGAGCGGAGCTAAGCGGGGCTTTAGCGGGGCTTTAAGCCGAGCGGCCGAGAGCGACGTTTGTCGTCTGCTTCGAAATTGGCCACTTTTCCCGCGAACCCATCCACAGCAGCACGGGGCGTGGCGGGGCGGGGCGTGGCCACCACTAACACACTTTTCCCGCACCGCGGCACCTGTCCTGCCCTCTCCTTGCAGCAGTGACCCAACCCGCGGCCCAGCCCCGTTTGCGCGCCCCTGCGCAGCCTTGGCCGCAGCTGACGTGGTCGGTCAGAGTGCATCATGCTCAAAAGTATTGAGTATTGATTGAGCGTCGAGGTCATCCTGACCCCGCGATGAAAAAAAAGAATTTCGCCACAAGTCGTGTGCGTGCGGAGGGCCGAGTGGGTGAGTGCGTTGCGGTGGGGGAGGGGCCTCTCCCTAAAGGGAACCTCTAGAAGTCCTTCAATGGAAATCTACGAGCCTCCTGGAGGCTCGCTGACTTCTCGCTCGCACGAGGGATTATTGTTCAACTCCAAACTTCAATGTATGTACTGGGTGCCATTTCAACTGGCAGGCTTGTCCAATCTTGGCACCGTCTGTGTCTGAATCAAATGGAAAGTGAAAAGTAGTCAGTGATGATATAGACACATTCGGGCTAATCCACTACTGGAAACTCGGGAGAGGAGTAAACTTCGGTAATTACCACCTCACGCGGCTGTCTACATCGAATCCGATGGGCTGTATAGTGCGGGCATCAGCAAAGCTTGGGATCAAGTTTCCGTAATGATAGGCCCACGCATAAATAACGCTTCGGTTGTTAGCTGTAATTTGCTGCTTGAACAACTCGCCTCACGTGCGCGGCGAGAGGCGAGCTCTAATGAGCATGAGACGGTCGATCTCAGCCTCGGCATTCATACCCTCTGTTCGCACCGCATTACGTGGATGGGGAAGATCGCCGTCGTGTTGTCATCCTCGCGGCCACCGCTGTGACCGAACAGGACACTCGGCGACCTTTCAGAGAGGCATTTCCATTTCTTCATCGCGCGAGGCGCGGAGCGGGCCG